ACACACACACACACACACACACACACACACACACACCAATAGTTGTTTTAGGAGCTGGGCCTATTTTTATCCACAGAGAGTTTGATTAACTTAATCAATGAAAGGTTATGTACACACGAGGAAGAAACAGTTTGCGCTGCAGAAAAGCATGAGAACCAGTTAAAACTGACTCAAGGTGAATGGCAAAGAATCAAAGACGACATGAGGGGTAACGTTTCACATGGAAATTGGATTGGATTTGGAATACATTGCCTGAGAAGGGGGTGAAAATATATTCAGGTGCGGGTTTCAAAAGGGAATTGGGTAGTTATCTGAAGCCAGTAGCATTTTCAGGGCCATGGGGAAGAGTGGAGAATGGGGCTAGCTGACTGAGTTGCTCTAACAGAGTTCTAATATGTGTGCAAAGGACAGAATGGTCTCATTCTGTGCTGTAACCATTCTATTATTCTACCTCGACAGAACAAAGTGGCTGCCTCAGAGATGTTCAATTCCCTATAATGGGAAAGCTTTGTACAAAATTGAGGTATACTTTTTTTCTGTACATTATAGCTGTCACAGAAACAGTCCCACACTCAGACTTGACTTCAGACTATCTGTAACAATTAAGTGAAACGTTGAAAACATGCTGTTGGTTTCCACCGGAGAAGGATTTTTAAGAATGCAGATCTAATTTTAAGTTGGCATTGCTAAGAGACAGCCCTTATTGCATGCTTGCTGATATATTGTAAGACCAAGAAAAATGACTGAGTAAACACACAGTTTCAACTAAGTTTTGTAAAAATCAATCACAAGATAAAATTACTGTTAAATGACAGAGATGCATTTTATAAAACTTCCTAGGACACTTTGCCAGAGTGAAAGAAATAGTTGACACAGATCCATGTTTGAAATATTGACTTAAATCTTTCAATCTGTGTTGAAAACCCAGTTCTGACTCAGACCAGACAAGAAGTCACCTACTTACATTCCTCTGATTTTCTGAGCTTGTCCTTCAGTGAAAAATCCTCCAGGACTCTCACAGCCCAGGAGCCCTCAGAAGAAATTCAAAGAATTATTTATGAAGCCACACCTCCTCTCTTTTGCAGCTGGCCTTGTCGTATTCCACAAAGAGTTTATGTGACCCAAAGCACTTTAAAAAGCAACAATAGGATCATAGGGTCATACAGCACGGAAACAAACCCCTCGACCCAACTCTATGCTGACCAAACATCCCAAGAGGTTTATAAAATCATGAGGGGCACAGATAGGGACAGCAGTCAAGGTCTTTTACCGAGGGTGGGAGAGTCCAAAACAAGAGGGAATAGGTAAGAGGGGAAAGATTTAAAAGGGACGTGAGCGGTAACTTTTTCACGCAGAGGGTGTAGTGTGTATGGAATGAGCTGCCAGAGGAAATGGCGGAAGCTGGTAAAATTACATCATTATAGAAGGCATCTGGATGGGTATGTGAATTGGAAGGGCTCAGAGAGATATGGGCCAAATTCTGGCAAATGGGACTAGGTCGCAGAGAAAGTAAATGCATAAGGTTAGTGCTTGAGGGGGTAGGGTGGCAGGTGGTTCAGGGGCTAAAGTCATAGATGGATGAGAGCATCAGAAAAATGAGTGGCAGTGTAGAGCAGGTGAGTGGTTGAGGGGAATGTACTCAACAGCAGGAGAGGCTAGGAATACTGCAGCTAGTAACTCACCTCCGGACTCCCCAAAGCCTGTCCACTGTCTACAAGGCACAAGTCAGGAGTGTGATGGAATACTCCCCACTTGCCTGGATGGTGCAGCTCCAACGGCACTCATGAAGCATGACACCATCCAGGCCAAAGCAGCCCACTTGATTGGCAGTACATCCATAAACATTCACTACCCTCACTACTGATGTTCAGTAGCAGCAATGTGTGCTATCAACAAGACAAACTGAAGAAATTCACCAAAGATCCTTAGACAGCACCCTCAAAATCCACAACCATTACCATCTAGAAGGACAAGGGCAGCTGATACATGGGAACATCACCACCTGCAAGCTCCCCTCCAAAACACTCATCATCCTGACTTGAAAATATATCGGCATTCTTTCATGTCACTGGGTCAAAATCCTGAATACCCTCCCTAACAGCATTGTGGATCTACCTGCAGCACATGGGCTCCAGTGGTTCAAGAGGGCAGCTCACCACCTCAAGGGCAACTAGGGATGGGCAATAAATGCTGGCCAACCCGTGATGCCCACATCCCCTGAATAAATAAACAAAGCCAGATCCAAGAAGCAGTTTATATGAAACATTTTAAAGGAGACAAGAATTGGAAAATTGGAGATATTAAGGGAGAAAATTCCAAAACTTAGGGCATAGAAAGCTGAAGCTGTGGCCACAAATGAGGGAGCAAATAAAATCTAGGAGGTGTAAGAGGGCAGAGACTTCAGAGAGTTAAAGAGCTGGAGGAAGTTAGAGAGATAGGGAGAGGAAAGGTCACTCAGGGATTTGAAAACAAGGACAAGAATTTTAAAATCAATGCATTGTTAGAACAGGAAGCAACGTAGGCCAACGAGCTCAGACTTATTGCCAGTGGAATTTTGAATGAACTGAAGTTTCCGAGAGATGTAAAAGATGGGAATTCAATCAGGAGTTCACGCCCCCACAGCTATTCACTGTGCTTAAAACGTAGATCCCAGCATTTTCAGAGGATGAGGCTAAGAGCAATTAAATATTGGAAGATGAAGAAAGGGTGACTCCTGAGCTGTGAGAGCCCTGGAAGATTTTTTAATGAAAGGCAAGCTTAGAAAATCAGAGGGAGGTAAGTAGGTGACTTCTTATCTGGTCTGGGTCAGAATAGAGATTCTGACATGGATCAGAAGGTTTGGATAATATCTCCATTGTTGATCTATGTCAACTATTCCTTTCACTCCTGCAAAGAGTGCTAGGAAGTGTTCTAATATGCATCTCTGCCATTTTGGAGGGAATTTGGTTTGGGATTTTTACAAAAATTAGTCTTATGTCAGTATTTGCTCAGTTAGTTTTCTTTCCTGGTCTTACAACATATTCAGCATGCACACAATGATGGCCTGTCTCTTAGGAATGCCAGCTTGAAACCAGATCTGCATTCTTAAAAATCCTTCTCAGCTGGACTCCAATAGCATGTTTTCAACATTGCATTTAATTGTTATTGATAGTCTTAAGTCAAGTCTGAACATTGGTCAAGTCAGGGGAAGAGGAAATTGTGGGTGTCAGGTAAGACACCTGTTTCTATGACAATTACTTTTATAGAAGATAGAACATCATGGTTTTGGATCAAGTCTTCTCATCACAGGCGACTCAACATCTTTGATTCAGCAACCTTGCTCATTACTAGTAGGATGACTGGAATGGTTATAACATAGAGGCGACCATTCAGCCCGTTGCACACGTGCCAGCAATCTGCAAGAACAACTCAGCTCATCTCATCTCCCCACTTTTGCCAGCCACTCTGCAAATTTAATTCTCTTCAGATAGAGTCATTGTGTTGTACAGCACGGAAACAGACCCTTCTGTCCAACTTGTCCATGCCGGCCAGATATCCTAAATTAATCTAGTCCCATTTGCCAGCATTTGGCCCATATCCCTCTAAACCCTTCCTATTCATATGCCCGTCCAGACCTAACTACCTAATACCCTTTTGATGCCCACACTTGAATACGTCTCCACCCCATTCTCGGGGGATGCATTCCAAATCCAATCCAATCGCTGTGTGAAGCAGTTACGCCTCATATTGTCTTTGGTTCTTTGCCATTCACCTCGAGTCAGTTTTCTCTGATTCTCATGCTTTCCTCCAGTGTGACCTTTTTCTCCCTCGTGTGTACATAACCTTTCGTTAACAAGGTCCATCCAACTTTCTGTGAATGAAATAGGTCCAGCTCCTAAACGGGTTGCAGCACATTGTGCGCGTGTGTGTGTGCGTGTGCACGTGTGTGTGTGCGTGTGTCTGCGTGTGTGCGTTTTCTCGAAACTCTCCTGAAAATTGCAACAACCAACTGAAATGTACTTAGAACCTTTACTGATCAACTAAGCAGATAAGGGAACAGACCACTCAGGGTTAAAAAACAAAATCCTCTCATGCTAGGGTTAATGGTTAAATGCACACAAGTGTTGGCAAAAAGCGCTCTGCAATTTTAAATCCCCAGTTCATTTCACTCCAATGTTCCTGTTGCAAAGGGTACAGAGTAAAGACTGGAATCACAAACAAAACTGATTCTATGGAAACAAGAGAGTAAAGAAAGCAAGGCTCACATTTCAGCAAAAACAAATGTCATCATAAAAAGTCATAGAACAATTCATCAAGATGAAGAGTTGAAACAGTTTGGAATATGAGGCTGTAGGAATGTTGCTCATGGTGAAGCAAAGGACATGGAGAGTCAGAAGCAGACCAGTGTCAGGGTAATCGACCGTGCACAGAAGCAAATACAACCAGGGGAGACTGTGGGTGTCGGGAGGGGGTGGGGGGGAGATTATGAGTGTTCGGGGGTAAGGATGGAGATTATGGGTGTCAGGGGGTTCGGGGGAGCTTTGGGTGTCACGGTGGTGGTGGGGGGGTAGATTGTGGGTGTCGGGGGGAAGATTGTGGGTGTCTAGAGGTGGCGGGGTTGGGGAGGTGTGGTGTGGGGCGTGGAGACTGTGGGTGTCAGGGGGAGGGGAGATTGTGGGTGTGATGGACCCTTCCATCATTGTGGGTACCTTGGTGATCCTTCAAGTTGACACCCTGACACATTAATGGTGCTGATTGTGCTAGTCCCCTTCTGAATAGCTGGTGAAATATTTTGTGCCTTGAGCTTCCTTAGCTGCAACGCAATGCCCATGTACCAAAGCCAAGTATTGGCAATCTATTCTGTGCAGGTCATTTAACAGTTGTTTGTTGTATCATACAGTTCTGACAAACGAGGGACTTGTACTTCAGAGTTCAGACTGGTAAGATATTTGCAGTAACTAACATGTCAGTCTTGGTTTTTGTATGTGCATTTGCCAGTTTTCTTTGAGCAAATAATATTGATTGTGGCAGAAGCTTCTGGTTCGTTGACTTTGTTACATTCACTATGAGGAAATCTCTGTCCATCCTTTGGGCTGTCAATAAGATCTGTCATGCTGTGAACTTCATGCATTTGCTTATGTTTATGCAGGTCTTTGGCACGTTCCCTGTTACTATGACTAAACTACTACACGTGACTTTTGTCTGTTTGCTTGCTGAGCCTTGGCAAGATCTTTGAAACCAGATTTCTAGAGTAGGCATGCCCAGAGTCTTCTTGCACTACATGGCATACATAACAGAGCAGCTCCACAGTGGGGGCAACTGAATGGACTTGCCACACAGTTTGCTTTTCTGTCGTTTCTAGGAGTTATATTCATTTCATAGGACTTGAGGACCTTGGTCAGCTCATCCAGAGATATCAGCTAGCCCAGGCTTTCGCATATGCTGTTGTCCAAGACCTTTGTGACAGAGGATGGGAATGACCAGAAGGCTGTACTGTCTGTGGGGTCTCTATCACATAATCTGGCATAAAAAGATTTGCTGACCCTCAGTATGTCAGGCTGTGATGGCAATATAGAGCCATCTTCTTCCTTCAGGCTGCTAATCACAGAACTCTCCCTGTGCACCATCTGGAAGAAGAAACATGAGCACGTCTCATCCTGCTCCATGGTGCAGACCCTGGGCCGGAAGATTATCTTGGAGGTCTCCGAGACAAAGAGCGAGGCTTGCTGGCACTTCAGCCCCCTGAGATTCTCCGAGACATTGACACCCCCTCATCTGCAGCCGGAGTAGGTTCTGCATGGTTTTCTGGAGTTTCGACAGTTTTCCCCATCTCTCTCTCTTGCCTTCTGAACATCTTTGAGGATAAAGAATCTCTTGATGTTCCCCTTGACTATTTCCCACCAGTCCATTGGAGACTGAAAGAGGGGCTTCACAGTTCTCCAACCTATGTAATACCTTTTGAACTCCTCAGTGTTTTCAGGGGTCAACAGTTTCACATTCAGCTTCCACGTTCCCTTGCCAGCCCTCTGGTTTTCCCATATGTGGCAGTCAGCCAGCAGGAAGCAGTGGTCAGAGAAGAACACTGGCTTGACATCAATGGACCTGACCAAGAACGTACAGGACACAAACAGGAAATCTATGCTTGAGTGGATACAGCTATCTGGCCATGACCATGTGCATCTATGCTGCACTACATCTGCAAAGGTGCTGAGGATGTCATGCAGCTTGGCGACTCTAACTGTTTCCATCGGGAATCTGGACATGGCATCCGGTTTACTGTCAGCACCTCTGGATCATCCAGCCGCATTGATGGTGCAGTTGAAATCTCTGGCCAGAATGACAGGCCAGCAGCAGTAGGAGCTGCTGAAGGATAGCCAGCTGTGCTCTCTTTATCACTGGGATGCACACATTGATTAACCTAGGGGGGATTTCTGTACGTAATGTCTGCTATGAGTAAGTGCCCACTCACCACCTCCTTAACCTCGGATGTGGTGAAGTTGCCCCCTCACAGCAGAATACCCAGGTCAGAAGAATGGCAATTGCACCCCCTGACTAAATCAAAGGCCCATGGGCCCACAAGCTCAACCATTTCCTACAGCTGTTGAGGTGTGGGATCCTGCACTCCTACAGAAACAGGAAGTCCGCTTTGACATTAGCCAGGTAAGCCAAGGTAGAAACACATTGCGCGGTAGATTTAATACTGTGCACTGCTGGCAATTTTAAAATCCATTCTGAGATTTGATCTCAGTGCAAAAGGGACCCAATTTTGCATCTCACTGAGAGATGTAGCACCCCCAACAGAGCAGCTCTCTCCTGGTACTGCCCTTCAGTGTCAGCCTGGTTTTGTGCTCGAGGCTAGGACAGGTACACAAACCCATCTGGCGCTCAGAGAGCTCTAAGTACTGCCACTACAAAACAATTAGCACCAAGAGGGAAGCAGAGATCATGTACTACCTATTAAGAGTAACTTGATGCATCTTGCACTTTACAAAACTTAATTCAAAGCACAAAACAACCTGTCACTTGCAACATAAAACTGGGTCATTTATGCTGATGAGGCATTTGAGTTTTACTCTGGCTATTTGTCACGCAAGGCACTATTTGCTTAAAGCAGCACTTTGATAACCTTTGTCCAAAATAATTTTACAGGAGCATCGGTATTACTTCCACAGATTTTGGAGATCACGTGATTCTGTTTTGACAACAGCTCGCACGCAATGTCAAGACAGGTTAAGTTAATGACCAACTGCCAAATGTAGATGTGAAAAGTGATTGGCTTTCTCCGGATGTTACAAAGTTTATGTTGATAGGAATCTAATCCACAACAGGACTTGACATGCATCTAGTGTTACCAGGGGACCCCATGCAACAGAGATAGGGGTAAGGCAAGAATGAGGAATGGATTTAGACATGCTGGATTGGGAACGACTTAGTACATTTTTACACAACTAAGGAGCTCCGGCATCACTGCAAAAAAATCAAAGTTTTGACATTTTAACTACCCCTCAGCAAATTTAGGATAAAGAAAATTGCAAATTCCCATGAGCATTCTGCACGAATAAATCCCTTCCAACAACAAATCTGAACAGCCTAGCTCAAATTTTAAGGCTTTGCCTCTCTCTTTAATTTTTAAAAATGTTTTCTTTCATGGATTGAGAGTATCACAGACCGTGCCAGTGATTACTGCCCGTCCCTAATTGCCCTGGAGAAGGTGGTGGAAAACTGCCTTCTTGAACCGCTGCAGTCCCTGAAGTGTAGTAACATACATAGTACTGTTAGGAAAGGAATGCCAGGGCTGTGATTCCAGTGACAGTGAAACAAGTGCGATATATTTCCACGTCAGGACGGTGAGTGGCTTTGGATGCAAACTTGCAGATGGTTGCATTACCTTGCATTTGCTGCACTTGTCTTCTAGAGGTCATCAGTCTGGAAGGGGCTGCCAAGGTGAACGAGTGACTGTGGTAAGTGGCTTGAGTGCACCTTGATATCATTGTGGGTCAGCAGTGAAGAGAGTGGAAGTTGAAGATACTGGATGATGTAGTGCCAATCAAAGGGAGCTGTTTTATCCTGGATGGCATCAAGCTTCTTGAGTGTTGTTGGAGCTACACCCATCCAGGCAAGTGAACAGTATTCCATCACACTCCTGATGTGCCTTGTAGAAAGTGAACAGGCTTTAGGGAGTCAGGAAGTGAGTTACTCTCTGCAGGATTCCCTGCCTCTGACCTGTTCTTGCTGTCACTGTATTTATATTGGAGAGCCCAGTTCAGTGTCTGATCAATGGTAACCTCTAGGATGCTGATAGTGAGGGATTCAGTGATGGTAATGTGAATGTTAAGGGGCAGTGGTTAGATTCTCTTTCATTGAAATCAATCACTGCCTGGCATTTGTGTGGTATAAACATTAATTGCCACTTATCAGTCCAAGCCTAAATGTTGTCCAAGTCTCGTTGCATTTTGACGTGGGTTGTTTCAATATCAGAGGAGGTGTGAATTGGGCTGAATTGTGCAATCATCGGCGAACTCCCTCATTGTACAGTTAATGGCAGGAGCCTGAACAGCATTGATGTACAGAGGGATCTTGGGGTTCAAGTCCATAGCTCCCTGAAAGTGGCCACGCAAGTAGATAGGGTGGCAAATAAAAAGGTGTGTGGCATGCTTGCCTTGGTTGGGGAATTGAGCCAAGAGTCAGGATATCATGTTGCAGTTTTATAAGACTTTGATTATGCCACACTTAGAGTATTGGAGGGATGTGAAGGCTTTGGAGAGGGCGCAGAAGAGGTTTACCAGGATGCTGCCTGGATTAGAAGGTATGAGCTATAAGGAGAGGCTAGATAAGCTCGGGTTGTTTTCTCTGGAGGGTGAGGGGAGACTTGATAGAAGTCGAAAAAATTATGAGATGCATAGATAGGGTTGACGGTCAGAATCTTTTTCCCAGAGTTGAAATGGCTAATTCTAGGGGGAATGCATTTAAGGTGGGGTGGCGGAAAGTTCAAAGGAGATGTGAGGGGCAAGTTTTTACACAGAGAGTGGTGGGAATCTGGAACACACTGCCAGTGGTATTGGTGGAGGCAGATACAATGGGGGTGTTTAAGAGACTTTTAGATAAGCACATGAATATGCAAGGGATGGAGAGATGTGGACCAAGGGCAGGCAGAAAGGATTAATTTGCCATCATGTTAGGCACAACATCATGGGCCAAAGGGCCCATTCCTGTGCTGTACTGTTCTATGTTCTATATTCTGATATTAAGGTGAAGGGTAGGTCATTGCTGAAGCAACTGATGATGTTGGGCCTAGGACTCTACCTCAAGAAACTCTTTAGTGGCATACTGATACCGTTCCTACCTCCGAGACAGTAGGCCTCAATGAAAGTCCACCTGATCCAGAGGCGTGTAATAACATCTTCGAACAGATTGATTACAAAAATATCTAGCCTGAGGAACTCCTGCACTGATGTCCCGAGGCTGAGACAATGGAGCCCCCAGTAACTACGAACATCTACCTTTGTGCTGGGCATAATTCAACCTAGTGGAGGATTTCCTCTTTTCTTACTGACTTCAGCTTTATTACAGATCCTTGATGCAGCTTTGGTATCAAGGACTGTCACTCTAACCTAGCCTCTGGAAGTCAGCTCTTTTGGCCATGTTTGAACCAAGGTTGTAATGAGTTCAGGAGCTGTGTGGCCCTGGCAGAACCCAAACTGGATGTCACTGAGCAGGCTATTGCTGAGGAAGGCCTGCTTCTGAACACGGACAAAGACACCTTTCACCGTTTTGCCAATGATTGAGAGTGGTTTGACAGGATAATAATTGGTTGTGGTAGATTTGTTTTGCATTTCTTAGAACATACTTGGGCAATTTTCCACATTACCAAATACATGCCAGTGTTGTAGCTGTACTGGAACAGGTTAGTTGGTTCTGGACCACAGGTCTTCAGTACAGCCAGAGTGTTGTCCAGGTTCACAGCCTTTTCAGTATCCAGATAACGGCTTCTGTTTTTGAAAAGCTGAATGTGGAGGTGCTGATGTAGGACTGGAGTGGACAAAGTCAGAGGTCACACGATACCAAGTTATAGTCCAACAGGCTAACTTGAAATCACAAGCTTTTGGAGCGCTGCACCTTTGTCAGGTGAAGTGGAGGGAAGTGCACAGGCACAGAATTTATAGGCGGAGAGATCATTGCAAGATAATTCCAGGTAATTAAGAGTGTCAAAAGATAATACAAATGGTGTGAGTGGAGCATCGATAGGATGAATAACAAGTCTTTGTAGGTGATCAAAAGTGTCAAAAGATATGAGTAAAATGTCAACAACTGAATAGCAAGTGAAGGGATGAGCTATGATCCGAGTAATTGAGGCAGAGAGATAATTACATAAAATCAAAAATAAGATGGTGCTGGAGACAAACCAAATGTTTGGAATAACATGATAGGTATAAGAGTCGCATGACGAGGGTCAAATCAAAGTAACAGGTAACCAAAACAAGTAATCCAGCCAAATTTTGTACCCATGAAGACAGCGTCAACTGTGACCTTGGGTTCATGTCACGCTACATGTAACCCCACACACTGTTCTGTATTTGTAAATTCTCCCTCACTGTTCTATTTTGACTCCATCACCTTGATAACGTGTTATGATCTCTCCACCTTAATTAGTTTGTACAGTTTTGGATTACTTGTTACTTCGGTTAGTGTGACTGTTATACCTATCATGTTATTCCAACCACTTGGTTTGTCTCTAGAACCATTTATTATTGAGTTTTGTAATTATCTCTCTGCCTCAATTAATCGGATCATAGGTCAACCCTTTATTTGCTATTCAGCTGTTAACACTTTACTCACACTGACACTTTTGATCACTTGAAGAGGCTTATTATTCAGCCTGACTACACTCCACTTACACCATCTGCACTACCTTTTGACACTCTTAATTACCTGAAATGATCTTGCAATGATCTCTCTGTCTATAAATTCTGTGCCTGCGTGCTTCCTTCCACTTCACCTGATGAAGATGCAGTGCTCCGAAAGCTTGTTATTTCAAATAAACCTGTTGGACTATAATCTGGTGTCATGTAATTTCTGACTTTGAATATTTGAAGGCTGCCTTCACAAATGGACCGAATGTAGCAGGGTCTTGGGAGTGAATGGAAGCTCCTGTATTTCGCTACTGACAGTCTGATGTAGTGCCACAGTCCCAGATGCCTCCCTAATTCCCCGTTGGGAAGCAGTGGATATTTCCAGATACCATGCAACATGGGAAAGTGGGTCTTAAATGTGAAGATGGGTCTCCACAGAGACTATGTGGTGGTCACTCCTACCAGTAAAGGTATAGCTGCATAGTTTTACCGGACTTAGACCTGTTCTCTCATTAGAGAGAGAGAGAGACAGACAACTGGTCGTGGTTTAAACTGAAGGTCACCACACCTTAGGCAGGGGGAAGAGTTGAGAAGGAGAGTCCTTCATGGTAACCTCAGCCAATGCGAGAATTGAATCCACGCTACTGGTGTTCCTATGCATTGCAAACCAGCTGTCCAGACATCTGAACTAATCGACCTCTGGTCCTACCAGTACTGTCATGGACAAACACATCTGCAATGGACAGATATGTGAGGACAAGGTCTAGGATGGCTCCCTCACTGCCTGCTGCTGACTCAGTGTAGCAGCTTTGTCTTTTGGGACCCGACCCAGCTCGGTCAGTAGTACCCCACTCTGAGGCATTCTGTACCCATGCCACCATTAATGCCTCTTTCCACTGGTGCTTAACATAGAGGAATACTGATTCTTCAGCTGCCGGTTGGGGCAGGGAGTGGGGAGGTGGTTAGTGGCATTAAGGAGGAGATTTCCTTGACCTGACACTCTGAGCCCTGTTGTTGAGGGCTCCCAGAGCAATTCTCTCCTGACTGTATACCACTCTGTGCTACCACTGGTGGGACAGGACAAACTGACAGATGGTGGTGTCTGGTGTTATTGTCCAATACAATCTGAAAGGATGTGTGAGATCTAATGGAAAGAGGGACTTGGTGGTGGATAGATATTAATTAAGGGTTACAAAAACAGAAGTTGCTGGAAAAGTTCAGCAAGGTCTGGCAGCATCTGTGAAGAAAAATTAATGTTAACGTTTTGGGTGCAGTGACCCTTCCTCAGACCCTGCTGAGCTTTTCCAGCAACTTCTGTTTTTGTTCCTGTTTTACAGCAGTTCCTTCGGTTTTATTAATTAGGGGTTGACTAGCTGTGAATTGCTTGTGTAAATTTAGGGGCTAGTAATCAGTAGAGCGTGATTTTTTTTAAGAATCCCACAGTGTGGAAACAAGCTATTCGGCCCATCAAGTCCACACTAACCATCTGAAGAGCATTCCACCCAGATCCATACCCCTACCCTATCCCTGTATTTCACATGGCTAATCATCCTGGACACTATGGGGCAATTTAGCATGGCCAATCCACCTAACCTTCACATCTTTGGACTATGGGAGGAAACCGGATCACCCGGAGGAAACCCACGCAGACACGGGGAGAATGTGCAAACTCCACACAGACAGTCGCCCAAGGGTGGAATCGAACCCGTGTCTCTGGTGCTGTGAGGCAGCAGTGCTAGCGGATGAGCCACAGTGCTGTAATTGTACCAGCCTTCACCATTTCCTCTGGCAGCTCATTCCATACATGCACCACCCTCTGTGTGAAAAAGTTGCCCCTCAGGTCCCCTTTCCCTTGTCACCTTAAACCTCTCCCCTTTAGCTTTGGACTCCCATGTCATTAGAAAAATACCTTGGCTCTTCACCTTGTCTATGCCCCTCATAATTTTATAAACCTCCATAAGGTCACCCCTTAACCTCTGACACTCCAGGGAAGATAGCCCCAGGCTGTTCAGCCTCTCCCTACAGCTCAAAGCCTCCAGTCCCAGCAACATCCTTGTAAATATTTTCTGTGCCCTTTCTAGTTGCACAGCATTCTTCCTATCACAGGACGA